CCTTAGTATGGGCCCTCAAACCCTTAAGGGTCCCTAGAATCCACCTAAAAGGCCTAAGGGCCCATCTTGGGGACCCATACCCTAAACCCTTAAACCCTAAACCCCTAAACTCCTAAACCCGAAACCCCTAAACCCCTAAACCCATATTAGGGACGCATACTTCCAATCTTTTACTGCTTCTCAGGTGCCCTGCCCCGGCTTAGTTGGCGACATCCGTGATCTAAGCGTCGCCTGCGACCCACAGGCCCGCGAGGGTCAAGGAGCTGCCTGGGTGGTTTAGGTGACAGGCATGAATGGGCCCATAGTTTAGGGGAAATATAAGAGGGAATGGATAAGAACCTGGAAGCTACTCGATTATTTAGGGTTTGAAGAGGCCTGCCTCAGTAATTGGAATGATGGAACATGAAAAGAACAAAACGTGGAAGATTGAATGGACACTAATGTTATATAGGTGGTGATGTAGGATTTTTGTCTAGGGGCAAAGATAATTGGAGCTGGGTTTGGGGGGCAGTTGCTATAGTATGAGTAGGTTAAAGTCAGAGAAATTAATTATGAGGAAGGAACATTGAAGTACAGTAATTATTCACGCTTCTACAGTACGCTGGCCAGAAGCTGCAGACTGAGAGAAGAAAAGGTCATACAGGGCACGAGCGTCCTCAAATAGCGCACATGGATAAGCCCTGAACCCTAACCCTAAACCCTAAGCCCTAAACCCTGCGTTTGTCGAACTCGTGCAGAGGTTAAAAGAGGGGCTGCAAAAAGACTAAACCCTGACGGATACATAGAAACTGGTAGGGTAGGAGGGATCCGACCTCTTACATTGAAACCACGAACCCCTATTGTGGGCTCTTGGGTCCTAGCTTTGACCCGCGGTTTAGGGTTTAGGGGTTTAGGGTTTAGGGTTTCAAGGTTTAGGTCATTGAGTTTGTAGGGCAAATAAATGGCATGTAAGGACCCCAGGATCTTGGGCCCATACTAGGGGCCCATAGTTCCAACCTTAGGTTGCCAGGCAGACCGGGCAACAGATTATTCTGAGACTAGCACCCTAAACCCGAAATCCTAAGCCCTGATTAAAATACCTTGCAAGCTGACCCGCTTGGACTTGTGGGACCAAAGGCAGGCAAGCAGACTAGCATTCATGAGCATGTCTCCTGGGGAAGCACCAAGATCCATCTCTGGGAGCACTACTAGCGCAAAGCACAGTCGTATAGCGAGGTAACAAGAAGTTGCAGGCATAGGTGCGTTGTTGGTGGCCTACTTCTAAGCTGCCCTTCCCTTCCGCGGCGATGGAGGGCTTTGTGGTGCCGCTAGCACCCAACGCGGTGCGCGTTCATGGACCAGGACCTCAGTCCCGTGACTTGTCGCGAAACAAATCGACCTCCGCAGAATTTGCAACCCCTCATGTCTGTGATTTTCGCGCATTATGACAGTACAGTCTCATATCGCAATGCCGCTAGAGTATTTCAGCTCACAGCTTACACAAGTATGGTACAATTTTATATTCTTTATATGGCAGTTTCCCTAGATAGGGGTACTCCAATATAGGCCCCCAAATACTGTAATCCTCATTATGGGGCTCCCCAAAAAAGGTAACCCCCTAGTTTTGGGAAACTCTAAGCCCCAGACCCTAAACCCTAAACCCCAAACCCTAAACCCTAGTCCTTAATCCCCAAACCCTAAACCCCCGATCCCAAAGCCCCCAGTAAGAAGGGGATTTTGGTAACCCCAACCCCCAATATTAGGACCCTATGACTATCATATGATGGTTATATGGTCCTAATTTTGGGGGTTGGGGTTACCAGAATCCCCTCATTACCCAGGTGTCGCAGCTGTACCAGCCACGGAGCCCCGAGAGGCTTATGATGGCCGACGGAGGATCTCTAGGCTTGGGCTTTGCGCCTGGGTTCTCCAGAAGGTTTAGAGTTTTAGGGTTTTGGGGGTTTCAGGGTTTAGGGTGTTAGGGTTTTACGGTTTGGGGTTTCGGGTATAGGGGTTTAGGGTTTAGAGTCTTAGGGTTTCAGGGTTTCAGCTTTTGGGGTTTGAAGCTTGAAGCCCTTTTGCCCCTGCGTCGTGTTCCTAAGCTCTTTGCTACCTTGGGCCGTTCCACTTCCTTAACTTTCCTCAAAGGGAAACTACAAATGCTACTACCCTTCGTGGTGACTGTTACTGTAAAAGGGAGTGACTTAACGTATACCAACGGTGAGTAGTATGTTATTTGGGGTTATGGTAGCCCAAAATGTAATTCAAGTTCATGCTTGGCTCCTTTTGAGTATGGTGTTTCAGAAGAAGAATATATTCTTAAAGGGCGCAACCACCCAAAATTTGCAACTCAGGTGGCCTTTCACTGCCGCTGCTGCTGCGGCGGGCTCGGGCCCCGCGCCGAAGCGCAGTGTGCGCCACGCCGGCCGTCGAGGTGGCCATTGCTGAAAGAGGCCTGAGGCACTAGGGTTTAGGGTTTAGGAGGGTTTCCCCATGAAAGAGCATATATATATATATGTACATATATATATAGAGATGTGGGCGGACTTGAGTTTTAAGTCTGAAAATATGTTTTACGTTTGATTGCCTTTAATTCCCGTATAATTTCTTTAAGCTATAAACATGTCATGTCTATAGGGCCCCCAAACCTGCTGTAATTTAGTCTTCGCGGCCGTGGTTGCCGAAAATGGTTTGTTGCTTTTGGTTATTCAACCCATACTACATGACTACAAAGGTTGTGGGTAGTCTAGTACATTTCTTACTAGACATCCACAATAAACAGATGAAATTTATTCTTGTGACTGCTGCGAGCAGAACAATATTTCTATTAACCTCGGGGTTCAGGGTTTGGGATTCAGGGTTTGGGGTTTGGGATTCAGGGGTTTAGGGTTCAGGGTTTAGGGTTCAGGGTTTAGGGCTGAGTCCCCATCGAACCCAGTTTCCATGTCCTTTTCCATCTCGCTTTCCATTTACTGTTCAAACCCTGCACCCCAAACAACCCTACGTAGCCTTATAATTCGTATCCATCTCTACTAAACTAATTAAACACCAACCTCTAAACCCTAAACCCCCTAAACAAACCCTCAACCCTAAACCCCTGTTACCTGCTGACCCTAAACCATCCTTGTAGGGGTGCCCCAACAATGAAACATGAAAATGGACAATGAACTGGAAAATGAAAATGACATGTAAAATGAGGATGATACATGTTGGTTGCAGGGCTTTGGGGTTTCAAAAGTTAGGGGCCCCTTTGTTGTCGGGCATATCCGTTTGTAGGGGGCTACATAGGGCTTACCGCAGTTGAGGGCTCCGTTTTCCAGGTCGCCACACCTCAGGACTTCAACAACTTGGTTTTGGGGTTCAGGGCTTACAGGGAACGACCATATGAATAGCATGGCCCAATGCGGGGCGCCGTAAGTCGGTCATGCGCGAGAGGATTTAAACAAAGTCCTGAGGGACCACCAGGCCCAAGTTGCAATGCCCATACATCCCTGGTGCCCCTTAAGTTTTAGTGTTTAGAGTTTAAGGTCAATCTTGAGAAACACCTACAGCCCCAAATTCTTCATATCTCGATGGCCCTTTTGAAGGGACCTAAGGATACCCTTTACCATCCTTGTGAGGTGACCAGATGAGAACCCCCTTGTCGAAAAAACCCTTGACCCTTAAGAACCTTCAAAAACCCTCAACCATAAACATCCTCAAACCCCGCTTTAGGGGTTAGGGTTTAGGCTTCCACCGGACAAAAAAACAAGCTGAACCCTAAACCCTATAAACTCCAAACCCTAAACCCTAAACCCGCTCTAAACTCTAATCCCTCAAGTCTGGCCAGCTTAAAACCCTAAACCATCTGCAGGCTTCGCAGAGAGCAAAACTTCAGATTCTCCCCACCACCAGCGTGAGGTCAAAGAGGCCCAGGCCAGCTAAAAACTGGTTTAGTGTTTAGTGGTAATCCTAAACCCTAAATCCCAAACCCTAAAGCCAACATCTTGGGGTTTAGCGGTTTTGTGGTTTAGAGTTGAAGTGCTGCGGGATTTGGGGTTTAGGAGTGTTGATCTTAGGGTTTGGGGGTACAGGGGGGTTTGGGGGGAAGGGATTGGGGGTGTAGGGTTAAGGGTTTAGGGAGTTTAGAACCCTGAACCCCAAACACTGCTGAAGCAGTTTAGGGGTAAGGGGCTTAAGGATTTAGGGTTTTGGGTGTCGGGCCCAGGGTTGCCATCCCTTGCGTTTGCAAGGTTTTGGGGCTTAGGCTTTACCTGGACCCTCCAAATGTAGTTCCTTTTTGGGTTTGGTATGCATTCTTGGTGAGGATTGCTATTAGGACTACAAAAAAAGGACTAGATTGGCGGGCCTAGGTAGGGTTTAGGGAGATCTTGTAAGGATTCATGGATCTTTTAAGCCACAGTCTAAACTTCTGAAAGGGGATTATACAGGGCATATACAGGGCAGTGTTTTAAGGGTTATTAAGGGGGATGCTAGGAGTTGAGACTATGGCTCATTTGGGGGGGGGGCGAAGTAGGGGCGTCATTCAGCAAAAAATCCTGCAGCGAAGTTCAAGCACTTTCCAAGTTCGCACTTGGAATACGGCACGTCTTGTTGGGCAAATCTCAAGTCAATCTGTGCTCTCGCAAGAGTGCCAACCTAAAACCCTAAATTGCGAACCATGACTTTGGATACCTTAGACCAGTCTAAAGGTCATGGAGGCCTTTGACTTACCACGGGTTGGGGGAATGAGGGGATATAGTCCCTACATAATTCCTATGTAATGCATTCCCTTTTCCCCGACTCACCCGCAGTATGTTGAACTACAGCAGATGTAGGGGTAGTCCAAGTTTTACAAAGCTCCTAGATCCCGCGCCCTAAACTCCAAACGTTTAAGGCTTAGGGTTGAGGGTTAAGGGTTGGGGGTTTAGGGTTTACGTTTTAGGGTATAATTCCTAAATCCTAAACCCCTAAAGCCTAAACCCTTAACCCTAAACTCTAAACCCCTAAAGTTTACGGTCTAATCGTAAAGTTGCGCACAGGCTCCTCCAGATCCCAGTCGCCTTGGAGTCCGCAACCCAAACTTTGCCACATGGCATTTTTAAGGGTTTAGGGTTTATGGTCTGCGGGTTTAGGGTTTAAGGCTTAGAAAGAGGTTTAGGGTTTAGGGCTTAGAGTTAGGGTTTAAGGACTCAGGGTTTAGGGTTTAGGGGCTTAGGGTTGAGGGTTTAAGGGTTTCTGGTTTGGCTTCCGGGCTTAGGGGATAGCCTAGTTGAGGGTCTAGGAGTTTCTCAGTGGACGCAGAAGCACATGAACACAAGGATCCTGCACAAAGGGTATGGGAATCGCCCACGTGTTGGGGGGGGGGGGTGTTCCATAAAGAGTGTCCATAGACGGGCTTTAATATATTATGCTCCTTATCGCACACCGCGCTTTGTTTATTGGATCCTTACAATTACATGGTCTTTTGGGTCTCAACCTTTTTTGCAAGCCAGGGAGGCTTAGCATTCTGCTGTATCCTTCAGTGTTTAGGTCAGCCCGTTGCTGTTCAGGGACAAAGGTTTCGGACGTCCTTTTCAGCGTTGAATGAAGAGTTTATACATTAGTCAAAATCCGGACGTGGCAGCCACAGTAGGGAGTGACTTTCGGGGGTTCATGGGTTCATGTGCATCTCAGAATCTTGACACGCTTGAGAAGAAGGCGGGCAACTGGAGATACGGCGGGGCGTGGGCTTCTAGTACTTTAGTCCTTCCTACTACCAGCAGCGACACCAGTACCAGCGTGCCAACACCAGCACAAAACCCAGCATGCCGTCACCACCGCCACCACGTACGCCAACACCAAGCCACCCCTCCATCAACAACAACCGCTGCTAATCTTGCTACTTCTTTTCGCTTTCCTACTCCTGCTCTACTCTAGCTACTACCACTCCTCCTGATTGTCACTCAACCCCCACCAACCAGTTGGTAGTTTCCCAAAATAGGGGGACCCCAATATGGACCCAAAAATACTATAATCCTTATTATAGGGAACCTCAAAATGGTACCCCTAATTTTGGGAAACCCCTAGTTGAACCTTTTTTGCAGTGGAGGTAAGCAGAGCCCTGCGGGCTCCTTGGGGACCTCTGCCCTATGCGGTGGCCACAGAGGACATAACCCCTTTAAAGGGGTTACAGGGTCCCCCTTTACAGGGGGTTATAGGAGCTATAGAATTTAAGGATTTATACATATATATATATATGTATATACAGGGTCTAGCAAGTTCCCACAGCAGAAGTTCAATGGAAAATTGAATGGAAACCGGAGCTGTATCGGTACACAGGGGTTCAAGGAATTTGAATTAAGTTGCAACCCTCAAGCCTGAACCCTAAACCGTAGCAGAAGTGGGGTTCCCTCGTTATGGTAATGACAGTTCCTTAGCGGGTTTAGGCTTTAGGGTTACCCATTCGAGCACGCAGGCCAAAACTTACTCCCTCACCTGATAATGACAGAAAGCATCGCCCTTGGGGGTGCCAGTCAGTCCGTTATGTTTACATGCAATGTCAAATTTGGGGTTCTTGTTCCAACAAATTTGGCATGAAGTGGGAATTCTACTTCAAAGCATTCTAGTAGCGAACTATATCAGAACACCTGGTCTTACTGTGCATGGAGCAAGTCTTGCACTGCTTTTACAACGTAGATTTCTTACAGCCCCGTACCCCTTTTGAACATTGGCATTGAGAGCCTCCAGAAAGAAATTTGTTCCAATGACAGAAATCTTGCACCGCCTCAGATGGAACAGTTGTCAATGTTAAAAAAGGGGCGCGGGGATGCGT